GTTTATGACTCTTAAGGTCAAGTGAGATTTGGCTGATCTGTGCTGCATTTGACTGGGTAGTTCTGCTTCAGGTTGTGGGCTGTGGGCTGTCTGGGCTGTTGTTTGGGTTTGGTTCTAGAAGTTCCATGTGTATTTATTGTGTGATCCAGACAAAAGGGGCAGCAGCTATTCAGGGCATGTTTTTCTTGTGGAGAAATACCAGAATATAAAAACAAAGCCAAACCACGTAAACATATTTATGACTTCTGCTTTCATTATAGACCTGAAAATTCCATTGGCCAAGTGAAATCAAATGACTATGCCCAAGGTCATTCAGGAGAGATACCGTATTTCAGTAAGTGGAAGGAAGTTAAAAATGAGGACTTGCCAAACAATAAACTATCACATTACCTGAAACCATTACATTCAAACTTGTGTTAAGTACTTTATTCTCAAATATGAAAGGACAGTCAAGTATCATTATATGTTTGACAAAAGCCTCTGACATAATAGAGTGTCTAAAACAAACAGAAAAAAAGGAAACTAAGGCAATCTATAATAAGCAGAGGAGAACATCTAAAATGTGATAGTATTTCTAATGGAGGGATGAGATATTATAGCTCTAAGATTAAAATAGCATATGTAAAAACAGTGAAAACAAATGGCTTATGGAAACAAAAAATGTGGTAAAATGTTTTTCCTAAATTTAGTAGAAGTTTTGGAAGATGAGGTCAAGGGAATCTCCTAGAAGTTAGAATCAGAAGACAAAAAGACAGAATATATAAGAAAATGAGATGATCAGTCCAATAGAGCCAAAAACCAATGTCCAGGAGTTCCAGAAGAATTATTAAAATGTATGACATCATAATATTGTAAAATAATAATGCAAAAAAATTTCTCCAAACTAAAGAAAGCAAACCTCCAGATTGAAAGGGATCCACTGAAAACCCAGTACAAAGCAAAGGAAAAGGCTATTCCAAAGTCTTACATTATAAAATTCCAAAATACCAGGGGAGAAAATGATTATAAAAACTTTCAGAAACAAAAAAGCAAATCATAGACCAAGTATTAGGGATCAAAATGGCATAGGGCTTTTCAATTGTAATGTTAGAATCTTGAAGACAGAGGAGTAGCTGCTTAAAAATCCTGAATGAAAATTAATTTCAGCATAGATTTTTATACCTAGTCAAACTATCAAGTGTATGCATAAAATAACAGCATTTTCAGGCTACAGATACTTTTTTTTAATGTATTTCTTGTGAAAGTTACCTTGAGAATGTATTTCAACCAAAAAAGGGAGTAAACTGAAAAACAGGATGACCTAAAACCCAGAAAACAGGGAACTCTAATAAAGAGTATGGGTAAGGCTTGACCCAAGACAGAGATCAGCCAGGCTAAACATAAGGCACCAAGAAGGATGTATCTAGGGGGAAAAAAATGAAGGAACTGATAATTTCTCTAATGTGCTTCATCATTTGAAAAAAATTTTTAAGTATTTGACAGATCTTTTTAAACATTTGAGGAAAAAAGTGTCAGTTACTTAGAAGAATAAACCATTAAAAACTAAGCAGTTAATTCCAGAAATATTAAAATATTGCACAAGAAAATTAATCTAAGCAAAATAATGCATGTCTTAGTGGTGAATAATATTTCTATAATTATTATAATATGGATGAGCTAATGACTAATGATTTAACCAAAACTGTTGTGTTGGGAGGCTGAGGTGGGTATGTTGGGTGGATGGTATAAGAGACCTAAATGACTACCTTTTTTTAATATAGGAAGTCAGTAGATAATAAAATAGCAAAATCAAGAAATAGCATTATAAGCATGTTATTTTAAGATATGAAGATAAACATCAGGAGTGGATGGTGAGTGCCAGTGAGGATCAGGCTCAGTGATGGGTGGGAGGTAGAGCATGGGCACTGGCCCTTCTTTGTTATGATGAGCAATTGAGTACTCTTTGACTTATGTCCATTACTTTGATAAGAAAATCTAATAAGTGATCAAGATAAAGTTTACATAAGTCCATGATTAAGAAGAAAACTTCCTACAGTGTGAATTATAAATGAACAGTAATGAGTCTCCCATCCTCCATGTCCCGTCCCTGGTACTGTTCTCCTCAGGGGCCCCTTTTAACAGTTTCTATTTCAGTTGTTCTGGTGGTGACATTCAAAAGACACTTTGAAGTGTGTCTTTTGGTAAAATGTAAAGCTATCTTGACTTGTCTTTTGCCCAGCTAGCCAAAAGATGGCCATATGAGACTGCACTGTACATGGCAGGTGAATAGTGTACTTTGAGAGTAATGTACAATTGGCCTCTGACTGTTGTTGGTCTTTGATCCGTGAGGCACTACATACAGCCAAGGAAGCAGCCCTGACCTAGTTGGGTGAGGCAAAGGGTTATCCTGCCAGTGGGACCATGGCATTTCTGGCAAGAGATTCCTCTTCTAACTGTTGGAGTTGGTGCCATGGCAGATTTTCCTGACTCAGAGTAAGTGTTGAGCCCTGGTCCAGCTGGTTAGATTATTTGTTGATTTTGATTATCTGCACCAATAAGCTCTTTCTCTGGCACAGATAATCAGGAGCAGGCAGTAACTTTCCGTATTTCTAACAAAAGTACTTTTTTGCTTTTTGAAATTAAAATAAAGTTTTATTCTGTTTTCACCAAAATAGTGCTTTATAGGGGGGAATTGCATTGAATTAAATCAAGAATTCTTTAGTCCTCAGTGAATACCATATATCCTTTGGCAGGTCATTTTTTTCTCTCCTTGTATCTTTGTTGCTCTGGAAAGATACAGAAAAATCAGTAGTAACAGTGATACTAGCTGTCTTATTCAACTAGGCACTCTGCTAAGTACTCATCATCTCATTTAATCTTCGTAGTAGTTTTAGGAGCTTGCTAGAGTTATCACTCCCATTGTAGACTGAAGAAACTGAGTAACAGTTGAGCGACTTGTCCAAGATCACAGAGCTGGAAAGTGCCGGAGCTGTGTCTGAAACCCTGACTTGTGCTGACTCTTGGACTGATGTTCTTTATCTCTGACTGGCTTTCATTGTAGCCTCTGACTTTTTATTACGTGAGATTAAGAAGGCAGCTACTATAAACTTAAAACCTAATTCTAATGTGTTGTTGTTGTTGGAGAGTGCTTATAAAAATGGTTGCACATTTTCTTTTGAAGACAATTTGGAACTTTATATATTTCCTCATTACCTGTAAGAAAAACACAGCTTTATAAATCTAGAATTCAAGACCTTTCATGAGTGGTCTAATCTGTCAGTCCGTGAGTTTGTCTGCCCTTACCTTCTTTCCCACTTTTCTTGCTCATGCTAGGATATCCCTAAACTGGCCTGGTAAAGCACAGATTTTCTCAAAGACTCATTTGTTGTTTTCTACATGCTTTATATTTTGATAGTCTTTGTGTGTATGTATGTCTCACTGACGCAACTGAATTGTTAACTCCTGAATGAAGAGATAGAAACTCTGAGTCCACCATAATGTTTAATGTTTCTTACATATAGCACTACATAAAAAAATTAATGAGGGAATTTTTGAAGTTTTAAAGTTAACATATAATTTCAATTCTATACTTCTTTGCTTTTTTGTTAATTTCATAAGTGTTTGCTAAAATTTAGTAGACTTTTCTATTATGTTTTTCATCTCTTTAATTATATTTAATTATGAGATGAAAAATATATTGATATGACTGTAACAGTTTAAAATATTTTAAACAAGCCATTTTCATTTAGTATTCTAATCTGAAAGATATAGAAAATCTACTCCAACTGAAAGCTGTATACTCATTATTACATAGGTCTTTTTAAATGAACAACTTAAAATAAATTGTCTTATAATATTGTTAGTAATGTACAATTTTGATGGGAATAAACTGAATATTTATAGTGTAATAAATGTAAAAAAATTATTTAGTTTATCTTGCCTGATGTGTTAAATATAGTTGGAAGTTATTCAGAATATTCAGTAATGACAGGAGGAAATTTGAAATGTGCTTAAATCCTAAGTGTAAAACTCTATTTAGACTTCATTTTGTTTTCCAAAAGGGGATTACATTTTTATGTATTAAAACTGCTTCTTGCTTCCTGCTGAATTTGAAAATTCTACCCTTTACTTTCCCCTTTTTTTGTTTTTCTTTTCTTAGTAGCCTGAATGTTTGTCTCTTCTGTTTTCTTCCTTAAGAAAATTATAGATGTTCTATAATAAATAACTATTTCTACTTTAACATGTAAATTGTTTAAAACTATGTTCTATATATAAAGTAATTTTGGATTGAAATATTTCAGTTTCAGTAAGAAAAGGATAATTTCATTCTGAGACCAAAGAATAAACTGTCATAAATTTCATGTATTTTGGATGTTTATATTTATTAATCTTTGAGGGCTTTTGTTGCCTTTTTAAAATGCAGCTTTAGTGTAATATTTTAGCTCAGAAATGTCATATATACAAAATGCTTGAAGGTTCTCATGCTTTATTTTTTCCCAAATAATGTTGTGCATCAATGATGCCTTTTTTTACACCTCACAAATTTTCTAAAAGATACCTTAAATTATTTTACCCTTTAATTTGGTTTTCAAGACATCAAAATGAAACCGTACATATATCTTTTAGAATAAAGAATACCATATTTGATGTAAATCACTGCATGTGTTCTTATCTAATCTTGTAAATGGAAATGTTATATTTTAACAGTAGTGGCTTTTTACATTAATATTATTTTCTAAAGGAACTGAGCGTTAGAATGAAAGTGCAGATTATCCATTTTGACTTCTCTCATCTAATCATTTCATTTTTTAAATTAGACTGCATCTTACGATCCAAAAAAACCTCACTAATGTGCATTTTTGGCTGTGCTAATTCCCTTTGTCATAAAATGGAAGCTAGCCTAAATTTTCTAATAATTTTTCATCACATTAAAATTCATGGCAAAAATAAAAATGAGATAATTTTGAATTCAAGTACATATATTTTATATGGATGCTTTTCCCCTCTTCTCCCTACCTAAGGAAATAGAGAAATTGAGATTAGAACTGAGTGAAAGCAAGCAGCACTGGGAACAGGAGCAGCTGAAGGCAGCCCGGGCCAGAGAGGAGTGCCTGCAACTGACAGCACTGCTGGGCGAATCCGAACACCAACTGCACCTCACCAGGTACTCCCTAATCCCATTATGCACCATAGTACCAATTTCATTCCACTGATTTTTGCCGCAGGCTTCCAAACAGTTGTTAGAGCTAAGTCTTAGTCATTCAGTTCACACACAGCTTTTAGGCATATTAAGAAAAGTGGAGATGTGGTAAGCAAAACAGCCAGACATGTGAATGATAAGTGTGGCAGAGAATTACTGATATATTAAAAAGTCTTTCGTCTACAATGCTCAAATATTTAGTTTCTCTATCAATATAAGCAAAATGACATATTTCTTCTACCACCACCACTACCTCTCCTTTTAATTCTATGTCTAGTAAAAATGTTGAACTAAAGTATCTGAGGAATATATTTAGGAAAATAATCAGATACTGTCAGTGGTGAAAGACACAAAGTAAAAAGCATTCTATGATGCAAATTGAGATGGAACTGATACAAAATAAGCAACCTGAGTCCTAAGAAGGTGTAAAATTTAGAGATGAAATTGATTGGCACTGTTCATGTTTAAACCATTACCATAACCACGCTTACACCATCGTGGTTTCAAATTGCCTTGTTTCCATCATGAGATACTGTGGTGTGATCATCATTGTCACAAAACTTTAGTAAACATACAGCTTAGCCCTAAATTACAATAAAGATATTTTAGGTAGTAAGCATTGGGTAATTTGCTATATTGAAAACACACACACATACACATAAACACACAGACACAGAGAAAAATGCAAACTGAGTTTGTAGATATTTCACGTTACCATATAAATGGTTTTTCTCCCTTTGAGTTTAGTACAATTTTTCAATTTTCGGATCAAGCCTTTGTTTAATTCTTGGAGTTTTTCAGATTTTAGAGAGAACTTTGTCTAAATACACAAGTAAGTTTATAATATTTGGTTTAGTTCATAAATTAGAAAAACACTGGTCTTCTATTCATAGTGATATGTTGAATTTAAACTATGAAAGGGGACTGATCCCTTTTACATTAAATATGACAATGTAATTCTGAGCACGGTACGGTAACAGATGGAGAAAAGCACCACTTGAACAGCCTGCATTTGGAGAAAAAAATATTCTAGAGGTTGGTGAACCTCCCAAAGTTTTGGGTTAGTGTTAAGATGCCTCTAGTTCTGTTACAATCAAACTTTGTTAAAAAAAACATTTTGTTATGATAATATTCCAAATGGTTTGCCAACTTCCCTTTTAAATAATGAAAGAAAAAGAGAAGAAAGAAGGAGAAAGAGAGAAAGGAAAAAAGCAAAGAAAGAAAATAAATCATTTATACATGTGATACCTAGAAAAATCCCAATAGAATAAACACTTTTATGAGAAAAAAAATTGCTTGATACTGCAGAATAATAACCATGCTTTTAATGCCCATTTAAAGTATTGTAGCACTGAGAATGTAATGTTAACCTAACTCCTGTGACTATTTAATCTTAGAAGTTTCGGAATTTAGCTTCATCATGATAGTTAGTAGTTTTTCTTCTCTTGTCAGACTTCTACTGAGAACCAATCATTTGTGTGCTGAGCACTTACTAACCCACAGAAATAGGACAGCTTTTACTGTCTCAGTGTGGCTGAGCTTCAGTAAATAAATATTAATGCTGGTTTGTCCCCTTTGCCGTTCTGTCTTATTCTGAGAGTTAATTTCTGAAGTCAGAGTCCATGGAGGGTTTTCCTGTGCAGTATCAATTTGTACTGTCTGACAAGATCAATTTCTTGAAAGTAGAGCATATGAAGATGCAGCAACTGCTGAAAATGGACTAGTGGTAACTAATTCCTTTGTTCTTAAGAAAGACGGCTTTGCTTGATTCCACAGAAAGCCTTTTCTGTTGAGCTTTATTTACAACAAGTCTACAAAAATTTAATCTAGCTTTACAGAAAAATAAAACTTAATTCCCTGTTTTCTAAGCGCAGTACTCTGTTGTGAGCATTTTATACTTAGTCTATGCTCATGTTTTATTAAATCTGCATTGATAAATATAAAGATGACAATGAAGAATGCAAGGAACTGTGTATATCTCTCTTTTGCACTGAAATTATGACTTGGTTGTTGGGCTAAATATTTCTGATATGTCATTTGGGGTTTTTTTTTAAAGAGTTTGCTTTCCCTCACCATTCTTTATTGATTCGTATACTCTAGAATGTGGCTGAGAATCTTTACGTCTTTCATTTCAGTGTAGACCAACTGAAATAAATAAATCCCACACAGGTAGTGCTTCATTTAGTCTTAATTTAAACATTTCAAATGGCATATTCTAAACAAAGTTTAAAATTAAATAGGAAAAAGATGTTATAAAGTAAGGATAAAATAAGGATTTCAAATCTTTCAGGGCAAAGAGCATTTTAAAACTGAAGTAGAAATCTGTAGGTTAATCTGAAAGAAAAATAGCCTATCACTTTTTTGGAATTTCCCTTTATTGTCTAATTGGACTTAAAACTGGAAAATAGAAATTCATCATTTTTTGAAGGACCCAGTTGGTAAATATAATGTTTGCTTATTCAACAGATGTTCATTGAGTCCCTCCTATCTTTTAAGTACACTGTTTGGTCCTGGACAGACAGGAAGAAAAACTCTGTTCCTACCCTTAAGTTGTTCACATTCTACTACGGAGCTAGATCTATCTATATGGTTATAATAGAGTGGTAACCGTGTAATGACAAATAAGGATTACTACAGGCACACATAGGAAGGGGATTTGGCTCGTTCTGCATTATAGGTGAAAGTGATAAGGAAAACTTTCTGGAGAAAGAGATGCTGGGTAGCTGTCTTGATTAATGAGCTCATGGATATGAGTTCTCACAGTGGAGAAAGGTAGGGTGAGTACCCCAGGTAGAGGGAACAATATACACAAAGACATAAAGATGGGAGAGAACATAAACTCGACAATCAGGTTAGGGGTTTGGCAGGAGATAAGCCTAGAACGAGGAGACGGACCAGAGGGAAGGCCTTGTGGGCCATATTCTGGAGTCTGGGCTCTTCTGAAAGTAATGGGTTACTCTTGATGTATTTTCATCAGGACTGCCAACATGATAAACTTTTCGTGTTGGGATGCTGACTCAGCGAGCAGTGTGGAGAGTGAACTTGGAGAGTTGATGTAGGAGAATATAAGTCCGGTTAGGACAGAGTCAGCAAATGTAGCCCATAGGCCAAATCTGGCCCATCACCTGTTTTGGATGGCCCATGAGCTAAGAACATGTTTATACTTTTAAATAGTTTGGGGAAAAAACAAAAGAAAAATAATATTTTATGACACATAAAAATTTTACATCCATAAATAAAATTTTATTGGACACAGCCATGATTTTCCTTGATGTATTATGTATAGCACTGCCATGGCAGAATTGAGCATGGTCGTCAAAGCCTAAAATATTTACTATCTGGTCCTTTACATAAAAAGTTTACAACCCCTCCGTCAGAAGGCTCTTTCACTCAAGCAAGAAGTCAGGAGAGCTTGAACTATGATAGGTTCAAATGTTTATTTAAAGAAAGTAATTGAAAGGCACTGTGAAAACAGATTGGTTGAGGAAGAGATGATTGGCAGGGACTCCAGTTAGAATATAAGCACAGTAGTCCTTGGCCGTGACTGTGCCAGTGAAGTGGAGAGGAAATGGCATGTCCAAGAGGCATTTAGGGAAGTGATGAGAGAGGCCAGAGTGAAAGGTGACTCGAAATTTTCCAGCTTGTGTTAACTGGGTGATCCACTAATTCAACTAGGGAACATAAAAAGGTGTAGCAGAGAAAAACGTGTTTTACTTTGGACCTCCAGTGGAGATGTCCATTGTAGGTCTAATGTGAGGATAAAGGTCATGACTAGCAGCTTAGATATGGATGCTTAGACGTAAAGATACTGTAGCCAAAGGAGTGGGTGAGAGCACAGTTGAAAGTACTGTGGAAGAAGCGCCAAGGAGACGGAAATGGGGCCGTCAGTGCCGAGGAGGAGAATAAAGAATGGCTCAAAGTTTGCTTTTGGTGAAGTACCAGTTATAATGATGCACTGTACTTGGGAGAGGGGGTGGGAGCCATTATCCTAGGATTGAAGAAACTTGAGTTTTGGTATCTTTTCCCAGGCGTTCACTGTGTTTGCAACTGTTGGCAAATTACTTGATTCTTTGCACCTGCATACTTACCTGTGAAATGAGGTTAGACATGATGATTTCTAGTTTTCCTTCTGGCTCTGATAATGATTCTAACAATGATTTAAGACAATGCGTCAGTAAGTTTCTATTTCTGGACATTAGGCATTTAGATTGCTTGCAGTATCCTTTGTTTAAGGTGTTTCCTTAGTTTGAAGTTCAGAGAGATTTAATAGAAATGTCCTTCATACCTGCCGTTTACGCTTAGGCTCTGCTGACATCTCATAAGGATTATGAAAATACTCTGTTCAAGTCCTTCCAATCTCCTTTGCCAGCTGCTGCCAAGTGGGTACTCAGAAGCACTGCCTTGACTCTGTGCGCTCCAAACCTTCCTTGGTGTGTATTATAGACAGTCCAGACCACCAACCTTTAAGGTTTCCTGACAGGCTCCCAACCCTCTGGTTTTATTTCATTGCTACCAACTTCATCTTCTCATGTGCTGATTTCCAGCATGTGATTTAAGCAGATGCAGCCCTCCTTCAGCTTTTGGACCTTTCTCCCCCTTTGCTGTTCTCTACATTTAGAATACCCCTTTCTTTGAGCTTCTCTAGCCCTGTTGTAGTCTTATCTCCTTTTCCAGATCTCCCTGAAATCCTAATTTTTCTGCTGTAGCCCTCCCTAATAACCCTTGCCAGAAGGGAGCATGTGTCCCTCTGAATCTTCCTTCCCACTTAGAGCCGAAGGCGCTTACTACTGCTGAATGAATTCCTCAAAACAGGAAAAATGAAAGCTGAAAAAAAATTATGTACCTGCTTATCTTCTTTTCTGGAATGTATTATTCTTCAAGTGAGAGGAGGGGTCTTATTAATATATATCTCAGAGCATCTAGCTCAGCCCTTTACAAAGAATTAGAGCTCAATAATATATTGG